TACATTCCAAGTCTCCATGCTAGTGAGTGAAGATGATGAGATCTAAAAACAAAATTCAAATTGGAGTTCATGTATAACAACTATAATATAGCCCAAGGAAGAGAAGGATCTTATTGGGCTACCGTAGGAACCATCTTGTACCCCTGACCCAGTTCCAGGTCTATTTTCTCCCCGTGATTCCGTCGACATTCATAGTAGAACACAGTGAAAACCATAAAGGAGAAAAATTTCGCTGTGCAGAAGAGCAGCGTCGCAGCAGCTCCAAAAGCAAACTGAGCGACAATGCCGAGCTTATCGTCATCATCTGCTGATGTGACATAGAACACAATGTAGATTGGAATACTCATTAGTTCCAGCATCGACATTAGCCTGAAAGCTTCCATTTTTTTGCACCTCATCAGCTTTAAAGCTCTTAGAAAGGCCTTCGGTCCTGAAACATCATCTTCCAAGACAGAAACAACCAAACCAAGACTCCAAAGGGCAGCCAGGAACAGATACAAAGATACAGCAAGGATTCCCGCTGTCCAACTCCACACGTAGAGATTAACCCATCGAACTATCACCAAAGCCAGAGCCCAGTACAAGATTGCCAAAATGCAGACAAAAAACCATGTAATGAATGGCTTCTTCCATGTGAACTTTATCCTTGACACCAGTTGTTTGAGGCTTATGGATTTGTTGTTATAAATGACTGCCGATCCATAGACTATCAATAGCATTCCCAGGAAAAAAATTATTGAGGAAGATAGCAAGAATACCGACTCAATTCCCACAAATGATCTTAAATCGCACGGATCTAACTCGGAGCGCTCGTAGCCATCCTCGACTTTCTCCATGAGTGGCCCTGCTAGAACATAATGAAGGAGGACTAGGAAAGAGAAGGGAGAGAATATCAGGAGCATTGTTTGGATCATAAGCTTGGGATTCCTTGCCAGTAGCTCGATGGCTTCTCTAATCGTACCGACAACACCAGGCCGAGGAGCGGACCCATCGGTGGATGCCCGAGGCAAAGTAATGGCCGGTGATGAAAGAACTTCATTTGCCATGGATTGGGTCGGACTCTGTTACTGGGTAAAGTGGGGGAGATGATAATACCCGCAAGTTGTGATATTTGTATGAGTGGAAGAATAACAGTAGATATCCTTTCAACCTTAATGTACAGAACACGGACTTTCTAGGCACTTGTCCTTTGAGTAGACTTGGAATATTTTGTGGTCAACAGTGGATACGGCCGCGTCTTGTCTCGAGTAAATTAATCGAGTGGTGAAGTTGGTGAGTTTATGAGATGGGTTATTTCCAATACACCACTGATTTAATATTTGGTTCCTGGTGAGGATGTTTCGGAAAACCAAAGGCTAAGAGAAGCTAAGATTTGATGGAGTATCACCAGTGGCGATACTATAACAGTGGGGGAGTCCCCCATCGACTTCAGGAACACTTCTTGAGCGTTTCCATCCTCCTACTTCTCTTCTGAAAACAAGAAATCTTCATTCTTATGTCAAGCTGGATTATTAAATCGGAAAGATGGATTGATACGGCACAGAGAGTTGGACGAGAAAGCCATCTGAAACGACAAGACAAAGGCAGGAAGCATGCCCAGTTAAAGCGACAAGTAGGAGAAAGACGCGTGTCCGTGTTGTTTTGGAAGTTCCTATATCTTAATCACCGATGGGATCGACGCACGAGATATTATAATAAAATCACGGACGTAGACGAGGGAAAACTCGACTGGGGGGAGGTGTTTTCGGGGGAGAACGCATCGAATGCGGAGAAAGATGTCGGGAATATTTTAAGACAACGTTGATAAAGTTGCACGTCCGGTTCGCATGCATCACCGATTTCGCCCAGCCCAGCCCGACCCAATAAGACCAGATTCGTCCCGTGGACCCGAACGAGCGCGGCGTGGGCGGGCTTCCTCTCATACACGAAACCCATCTTCTCAAACTGGATTTGCTGTCGGTTCAAGAAGACGAGGGAGTGCAAATGGAGTGCAATATAAAACGGAAGGTGACAGAGCGAGGTAGGGGAGTTTTACAGCATAATTGACAGTAATTTAGTGTTCTCTAATGACATGGCTCGATAGCAATGCATAGCGTCGGCGTCCATTCTACATATGAAGATAGATTTTTCGATGACAAAGCGAGTTTTATAGTATAATTAGCATTAATCTACAGTTCCCCAATGACGCAGCTCGATAGCAATGCATAGCATCGGCGTCCATTCTATATATGAAGATAGATTTTTCGATTTGGACATAGGGTCGTCGAGTCGTTTTTCAAAGATTTTTGCACTTGGGCAACTAATGAAAAAAGTACTTGCAATTTAAGAGCGATTAATTAGTAGCCGGGGAAGCATAGTTTACTGTTGAGTTCCTTTCTGGGTTGACAATTTCCTCGAGCAAGGATGAGTTTATTCAAATGGACGAGAACATGTATTGGTGGGCTTAGATATCGGCTTGTGCCCGCTGAGCAACATAGTTGCATGCGTGCAAATTCAAGTCTACTTGAAACCAAACTAAAAAGTCGTCGAAATAACGTCAATCTCGGGCCACTACGCTATGTATGACCGGGTATCTTCCAATAAGATCCAGATATAGACCTGCCCTATTTGTGATTTAACTGAGGGGACGGGTCATGACCGGCGTTTTGGACATCGATGATGCCAAAGAAATCCCTGCACTTCTACTGTATAAACGTTTACCGCAGAGCTTGGCAGATATTTTTCTGTCTTATGTAGGGGTGAGCATTCCGGGTATAACCGAACCGGTGGAAATCGATATGGTTTCAAGTTCTAAAATATACTGGGTAAGTTTCAGGTTCTAAAAATTAGAAAATCGGCAACTTGAAATAAGTCTCTGTGTTTTTCTTGTTTTATGTCTTCGCTCAACCATACGGTATTTCATGGTGTCTGATAATGAGTGTGTTATCTGGAATCGCTAGTCCAAACCTTCATTTTTGGCGATATCTATGACTCAGGCATTTACTTTGTTAATGTTTCGCATTTTTTGTGTGTCTAAATATGAGTTTTGGTCAATAGATGGAGGAGCAAATTGTGGTCATTTGAAGTAATGATTCATTGCAATCGTTTAATTAAGAATATTGGTGGAATTTGAATAGACATGAAATCGATCTTAGAACCCGTGACGATGTAGGTTTCAAAAAAATTGCCAAACACCATTTACATTTGGCCAAGGGACTTTAGAGCTCAAATGAGTATTGGGAATGCTGAACCAAACGGGGCCAAGGTATATTTCATATTTTAAAAATTCGAGAAACGATACCGACGGATAAGTTCTATGTTTCGGTGAAATCTATAAATTGGTCCTCAAACCGCTCATCCCAAGTTCTCTGTTCACGTGAAGGAGATTAGGAAATCCCGCTCGGATTTAATCCTGACTCGACCATGGGTTCAATCAGACACGTATGGTACTAGTCCTCGCCACTTGTCTATGGTCACCCCCAAGGGCGATGCGACGTGTAGCGAGGAAGGGTTATAGACCTGCTTCTTGGTTTGATGGTATTGACTACCGCACACGGCAGACAACTTCGTTTCATTTGAGGTTCCGGTTCAGCACCAGAAGAGCCACTGCTTAGAAAACTGCAACGATGCCCATAGAATAATGGGATTCGGCTAGCATGACCGTCCTCCATAAGATGAAAGAGTGGCAGTCAATTGTCAGCCACAAGACTTTTTTGAGGAAACCGTAAGCTTTCTCAACCGGTTTCATTTTGACTTTATGTTTTTTTTTTCTTTTTATTTTTATTGATTTCTATGTTTCCTTATTGCAAGCTCAAATTGAGAGAAAAAGTCATAAGAGGGCCCACAGAATCAATTTTCTCGACTATGAAGAACGAAAAAATAAATTAGATACCGAAATATAAATAATTACAAGTATAAAAATATAATCACTTACTTAAAAGAAATCGTTAATGTCATTATACACCTCTATTAAATTTAAAAGATGAAAAAACACTTAAAACGTTGTATTTGCAAGTAATGATAAAATCATTGTGCAATAAATTGGTTTCTCATTCCTTTCACTCAAATCAAATTGCTTTAGAAGAACTCTCTGATGACCTAAAATTAAGATCAGTGATATCGATTATGCATAAAACAAATGAAGTAAAGAAAAGATCAAAATAAGAATAATGAATTAGTAGAGCAAAAAATTTACCCCATTGATCCAAATATTGCAGATGAAGATGTGTTGGGACCTAAAACATTATAAAATCAATCTTAGGATCACATGAGTCAAAGCTAAAGTTAAAAAAATGATTTTTGATCAATTTTGACACAGATTTTACCTAATATAGCTTCAACGTTTGGTTCATTGAGAAGATTCGCACGACCACGAGACACCCGACCCTATATAATTTCATATGAATAAAAAAGTCAATTTATTGTAAGATATTTTATTTCAAAACAGAATAAATAACAAGTACCAGTAACGATTGAAAACCCCCGATTCTTTCTTGATTGCAAATCAAATTTGAGAATAGCTACGGTGCCTTATCTCATCTGAATTCTTAATTGAATGAAAATCAATGAAATTCTTGGTACTCTCATCCTGGCATATTGTATTCGTTAATTTAACTAGTAGATGCTATGACATAGATTTCCAAAGAATTTAATTTGTTTCTTATGATTTTGTCTCTCAATCTAAGCTTGCAATAAAAAAATTATAAAAGTTTCAAAAAAAAAAAAAAGGGAGACGTAGAGTCAAAATTTGATATCGATTGAGGAAGTTTACCGGTTTCCTAAAAAATTCCTGTGGTTGTCAATTGACCGTCCCTCCGTATCATCTCAGCATTTTCCTAGAATAATTATTGGCAAAATCCTTCTTTTATTGCGTAATCCAAGTTGATCTCGAAACAAGGGATAAAATCTCTGACTTTGATGAACTTGACTAATTCATCGCGGTACATGAGTTCATATTAAATTATACAGCGTAGCATTTATGTGCTCTGCCATTCCCGTTAATGTCTCTATTTAATGCGGGCTTCTGTCGAAATGCCTACTCACAATTCTCACCCTTCTCTTCCTCCTCTACTGTTGTCCATCTACATCTTGACTGAATTTTAGAAGCCATGACAGGGTTGGTATCGCCATCACCTTGTGCTCATGTGGTGGTGTTCCCTCATATGGCTCAGGGACATGCACTCCCATTACTAGACATATGCAAGGCCCTAACAAGCCTCGGCCTCAAAGTCACCATCATCACCACCCCAAAGAATGCCCCACTCATCCTGTCAAAGGTATCGAACTACACTGAAATCTCCTTGCGCACCATACAGTTTCCTAGAGTCCCAGAGCTTCCTGAAGGATGCGAGAACACTGCCGATCTGCCTTCCATGGCTTTGTTGGTGCCTTTCTTGAAAGCCACCAAGTCCATGAGACCCGCCTTTGAGTGTATTCTCAGGGAGATGTCTGAAGCCGGGTCTCTCCCGCTCTGCGTGATTACTGATTTTTTCCTAGGATGGACGCTCGACGTGTGTCGGTCTTTCGGAATTCCTAGGATTGCCTTCCATGGGTTGGGGGTTTTGTCTATGGTCATCTTGAAAACTGCCTTCGGGAATGTCCCGTCCCTCATGGCAATGCCCGATTCCGATCCTATCAGACTGCCGAAGTTGAGCGTTCCTTTCACAGTCTATAAGTGTGACATCTCCGATTTGGAGCAGTGCAAAGACCTTAATGACCCTTTCTTGCCTATACTAGCAGAGCTTGGAGAGGCGGATGCAAACAGCGCGGGCCTAATCGTCAACAGCTTCGAAGAGCTCGAAGGTGATTATGTTGCTGCCCTGGAAACATTTTACTGCCAGGGGGCAAGAGCTTGGTGCATCGGGCCGGCTTTGCTCTACGACCAGAATCAGATAGAGAGACCTGTGGGATCCAAACAGGCAGACCCACCTCAGTCCTACATCAAGTGGCTGGATGAGCGTGTTGAAACGAGCGGAGTGATATATGTATCATTCGGAACACAAGCACACTCGAGTGACCTGCAAATGGACAATATAGCTCATGGACTGGAGATGGCAGGGTATCCGTTCATATGGGCAGTAAAATCGGCAACTTGGGTGTTGCCGGACAACGGATGGGAGGATCGGTTGAAAGGGAGGGGCTTGGTGGTGCACGATTGGGTGGACCAGCGGCGCATCCTGTCGCACCCAGCGATAGGCGGGTTCTTGAGTCATTGCGGCTGGAACTCAGTGCTGGAAAGCTTGTCAGAGGAGGTGCCAATACTGGCGTGGCCAACGGGTAATGACCAGCCACTGAATGCTAAGCTTGTGGTTACGGGGCTCGGGGCCGGGGTTATGGTGAGAGAAGGTGGTGTCGGGGGGACAATTGCTAGCGAGGTGATAAGGGATGGAGTTAAGGAACTGATGGGAGGGGAGAGAGGAAGGCAGGCTAGGGACAGGGCAAGAAAGATTGGTAGATTGGCAAGGCAAGCTGTGGAGAAGGAGGGTGGATCATCCTACAAGAATTTGGGAGGCTTCATTAAGTTTCTTAAAGAAAGAGTTAAGGTGAGAGTTTAGGTAGGTTCTTTTAATTTGTTTTCCTGGCACAATGAGGCTTAGAATTAGATGATACTTGGAGGTGGTAACTAAGTAAAAAATAAAACATGTAACAGAGCCTCATCGAAATATTGTGCCTCATTTCTCTTTCGATATGTGACTAGTTTCGGCAAAGGAAAGCTTGCCGCCATGATGTAGATATAAAAGTAGAACCTATGTGCTTCCTTAAATTCGTACTATTTCATTTACGGAAATTGTCGCCAGATTGCGTAACTTCTCATGGACAGGAAGCTGCCCCGATGCATGCTAAGCTTAACAGAAAGTTTGCTGAAACGTTAACTTCCTCAACAGAAAGTATTAAAGGTTAGTCTTGCCTCTAAGGTTACATCTTTGCTCCTCAACTGTGTCTCCCTCAACCTTTAACTTAAGGTTCAAGGTGCCACCCACCATCTCTGCTGCGTGGGATAAAACACATGCTGATCGCTACTTTGATGTCTTGCATTGTGCACATTCACTAAGTCGCGTAGTGTTGAGTATGTCTTGAAGTCTGGTTTGGGTATTAGATCGAAATTGAATTTTGATACCTAAATTAAAATTTGTGACGACCCGACTTGAGAATAAATAATTGGAAGTTTAGCGTTGGCAGCGGAGGGCATGGGCTAGCCCAACATTGGAGCCGTATGAATATTGTTTTCATCAAGTTATCAGTTTTGAAGTATAGACAGAAATTTGACCCAAAAAAAAAAGTGAGACAGAAAGAGTTTTAAGGTTTTCGTTTTCAAGCCACCTTTTATAATTTTTGAATTTTCATAGTGGATTTTGCCTTTTTCCCCGTTATTTTTCCTTGCAAGTGCTTTTCACTTAAATCTAGGTGTTCTTTTATTCTTCTTAGTTTTAATTTCGTTGTAGTTTCTGCATTGGTCATATATGGTATTAGAGCCATAAAGTTTTTCGATTTTCTGGTTATTGCTTCAAGTTCAACAACGAAATTTGATATTGAAAAGTTTGATGAGAATAGCAATTTCAACCTATGGCGGGTTCGTACGTTAGTTGTTCTTACTCAACTGGATTTGAAAAAAACTCTACTTGGGAAAGGAAAGAAACCGTAGGAACGTCGGATGAAACTTGGGAAGAATTGAATGAAAAGGCTATGTCTATTATCCAATTTTGTCTCGAATGTACTAGATCAGAAAATAGTTGCACGTTTACAGATGAAATTGGAGAATATATTTTTTAGAAAATCTCTCGTTAATTGATTGAAGCTCAAGCAACGACTCTTCACTTTTTGTATGGCTGAGGGTAATTCGCTCAAGTCTCATATTTCTAAGTTCAGTGTTATTATCTCTAAAATAAGAAGTATTGATATTAAGATTGGAGGTGAAAATCAGGCTATTTTATTGTTAGTTTCATTACCTCCCTCTTATAACAAGTTTAGAGAGACCATAATTGTTAGTGGAGAAATTATCGATCTTGAATATATCAAGACTAGTCTTCTAAATAAGAAAAAATTAGATACGTAATTGACTTTGAATGTGGCAATGATCATGGGGCTGGTTTAATTATTAGGGGAAGGTCTGTTGAAAAGCAATGATGGAAAGCGCAGGTCAAAATCAAATCATAAGAATTAGACTTGCAATTACCATAAGTCTAAGGGGCATATCAAGAAAAATTATCTGAAACTAAAAGCAAAACAACAAAGAGAAAATATTTTGAATAAGCAAAATCAAGGAAATGTAAATCGGTAAAATAATCATAATTACTTAAATAGATAGAATCAAGGAAATGAAAAATCCGGCTCAAGCTGGTGTTGCTAAAGAAGAAAACGAAGATTAGTTATTGGCTGCAGATGAGAAAGACAAATGCAGTGATAGTTGGGTTTTTTATTCAGACAAATGCAGTGATAGTTGGGTTTTTTATTCAGGCTGTTTGTATCACACGTGTCCTAATCATGATTGGTTCTCCACGTATAAGGAATATAATTATGGAGCTATTCTAATGGGAAACAAAGCTAAATGCTAAGCAGTTGGAATTGGAACTGTCAGTATTAAGATGCGCGACGGCATAATCAGAACCTTGGAAAATGTCAGACACGTTCTTGATCTGAAGAAGTACCTCAACTCTTTAGGTACACTTGATGCTAACAGTTGTAGGTATACAACTAAAGGTGGAGTTATGTGAGAGGTTCATTTCTGATGACGAAAGGGCTGAAAAATTGTACTTCGTATTAACTGTAAGGCACTACAATTACTGGTTCAACTATAGTTTCGTTTGCTATGACATAATTAGGCAACACTAAATTATGGCATGTGAGATTAGGCCATATGAGAATCAGAGGGATGGATGTGCTGAGTAAGAGAGGTTATCTGTGTGGTGAGAAAATTAGAAAACTAGATTTCTGTGAGCATTATATTTTCGAGAAACAAAAAAGGGTTGGTTTCTAAATAAAAATTCACACAAGAAGGGTCACTCTGGATTCTATTCATTCTAATCTTTGTAGGCGTGCAAAAACTCCTTCAAATGGCCTTGGTTCAAGGTATCTATTTTCATTGATGATTTTTCAAGGAAGGTTTTGATCTATTTTCTAAAGCAGGAGAGTGACATTTTTATTACGTTTAAGCAATGATAAACATTGATTGAGAAGCAGACTAGTAAAAAGATCAAGAGACTAAGAACAAATAATGGGCTGGGATTTTGTGGAGGCAAGTTTAATGAGTTCTGCAAAAATGAATATATTGTGAGGCATCATACTATAATATACACCACGATAGAATGGTATTGCAGAACGCATGAATAAAACTTTATTAGAAAGGATTAGGGGCATATTGTCTAATGCTGGTTTGGGTAAAGAATTCTAAGCTAAGCTGTCCAATAAATTCTCAGCGAGCTGTGCTTGTTAGTATGCGGCTGTTGTTCCCTTCTCCTTTTGTAGGTTTTCCGGCGCCCTTAATCACCCTAATCGGCACCATTACAGCGACTAACTAGTCCCAGCACCAGAGGCATCACCCAGGCAAGCTCTCACAGCAATTCCGGCATCCACAGTTCGGTGATCATGCAGCAAATCCCGCCTGCAAGTTTCAGGTTTTCCAACCATCCTCCATCATCCGACCAATAGCGGTTCGCTGGAGTCTCACGCCATTGCTCACTGCACATCTAGCAACGACGGATACCGCCATTCTTACCGGCGAAAACAGCCATTCATCATCTCTTAAAACCGAATTAGAGTTTCGATTTGGGATTCAGATTTGGGGCAAACATGTAAACAGCGGCGTTTGAATTATTAATGCTGACTAAGCACACCAGCGGCCACGTGGGTTGGAGAAATTGATAAAAAAAGATTGCCACATCGAATTTTCAGCTACCCGAATCGGAGTGAGTACTTAAAGTGATCATTTTTTTTTAAAGTGACAATTAAGTGATTAAAAAAAAAATTCGCAATAAAGTGAGTGTCGTATACAACTTTTAGTACTTCTAGTGTCCTTTTGCCAATTAAATTAGGCTCATATCTAGTCATGGCCAGGGTTCAGGAACCGCCGGTTCCGGTTCGTGGCCATATATGAACCGGAACCGGAACCGCGAGGGGGCGGTTCCGGTTCTGGCGGTTCCGGGCCGGTTTCGGTTCCGGCCGGTTTCGGTTCGAGGGGGGAGGAGGAGAAAAGGGGAGGAGGAGGGGGCGTCGGCGTCGGCGGCTGCGGCCATGGGCGGGGGCGACGGCGGCGACGGCGGCGGGGGTCAGATCTGGGAAGACGGGGGGCGGGCGGAGGAGAAAAGGGGAGGACTGGCACAGGGGAGAGGGGGGAAGAAGGGACCGACCATGACGAGGACCTTGCTGTCGGTCTGCGAGAGGAGCTCAGAGGCGAGGCCCGAGACGCAGGCGGTGCGGTACAGGGTCAACACGGTGGCGTCCGCGGTGGCGAGGGGCTGGCCGGTGAGGGAGCTGAAGAGGACGAAGACGGCGTGGACCCCCGGCAGGTTCAGCGCGGAGGAGTTGCCGGGGAAGTGGGTCACGAGCTTGACGCCGATGCAAGGGAGGGAAGGGTGGGAGGACTAGGAGGGCATGAGGAGGAGGGAGGCGGAGGGGGCGGCGGCGGCAGAGAGGGGGTGGGAGTGGCGGAGAGGGGTGTGGAGTCTGTGGACGGAGGAGGAGAGGGTGGAGGCGTGGAGCGGAAGACTGGTGGGAGAGGACAGAGGAGGGCGTGGAGGAGGTGGAGGTGGGGGTGGGTGGGGGTGGGGCCCTGCTGCACTGCAGGTGCAGGGTTTTTTTTTTTTTTTTTTTTTGGAACTGGGCCCGGAACCGCTGGTTCCGGGCCGGTTCCGAACCGCGGGCCCGGGTTTGACCGGGCCGGTTCCGGGCTGAAACCGGCCCGTGGCCATGACTACTCATATCCCCCTTACTTAAGTCAATCAAATTACAATGCGGTTCGTGTGGACTTATGACAATACTCATAATATGCAAATGCAGATTGATAATATTTTTGTTTAGGGGTCGAGAGACTTGAGACCAATCCTTAATTTTCTTATGCAATAAATAACTAAATGGATTGCCAAAATTTAGATGTTAAAAATAAACTGGTAAGACAATCAAACATGTGTGGACTAACGGTAGCACTCACATATTTGTGTTGGTTTGGAAAGCTTCGAGGAACAAGGGACATGTCTCTTTCCTGTATCTTAATCACTGATACGATCGAAGTGATGATATAATTTAGTGAAATCAAAGACGTAAACGAGGGGAGGTGTTTTCGGGGGAGAACGGATTGTATGCAGAGAATGATGTTTGAAATGTTTCAAGAAATCGTCGACAAAATGACATGTCAGGTTCGCATGCACCACCGATTTTGTCCAGCCCTACCCAACCCAATAACACCAAATTCGACCCGTGGACCTGAACGAGCGCGGCGTGGGGCTTCCTCTCATACACGAATCCATCTGGTCCGCTGGAACTGCTCTCAGTTCAAGAAGACGAGGGAGTGCAAATATAGGGAATATACATGGGAGGTAACAGACTGACAGGGCAAGCTACATGAGTTTTGTAGCATGATTAACAAAAATATAGCGCTCTCCAATGACACGGCTCGATGCATAAAGTCGCTATCCATTCTGTATGTACCCGTATCAAGATAGATTTATCGATACGAACATGGAGTGGATCAAACACTATCACTAAACGTTGGCTTCTACGATTTCCGCTCTGAACGCCGAGTTGTTTCCCAAAGGTTTTTGCAAGTAGGGCAGCCATGAAACAAATCACTGAGAAGGGCAATTAATTTCCTCCATTATCAACCGAACCTCCAGGCACCCTTTATTTATGTCTTCTTTTCTTCTCTCCTTTCTCTTGAATTGCGTTGACAATTTCCTCGAACCTGGACAGGAACATCTATTGGTTGGTTTAGCTATCTGCTCGTGCCCGCTGAGGATAACAGGTGCGCGCACGCACGTTTAAGTTAATTTAATGAAAGTCAAATGGACAAAAAAAATAAAATAAAGAAGTCATTGAAATGACCGCATCTGGGACCAATACCCCATATATGACCGGATATCTCCCAATAAAGACCTGCCATATTTGTCATTTGACCGAGGGCACTGGTCATGATCGATGCGTTCGATGTTGAATGATTCCTGTTGGCGCTAGAAAATGTCCAAGTCTTTAACCGTAAATAAAGGTCGGTTTGGTCGACAAAAGCCACAACTAACAAAATCTATGTAAGTGCTGGATAGAAAGTAAGTGATGGAGCCGACAATGTCGGACATGATTTGCTGGGGCACATGGACGTAGCTGAGAAGAAGTGAAACCGGCACAATCATCAGGTGGTTAATGCCGCGGATGTCGGCAACCTGAAACAAGTCTATGTTCACCCCCTAGGGTGATGCAACGTACAGCAAGGAAGAGAGAGAATTGCTTCTTGTTTTGATATTGATTACCCATTCAACAGATGACTTTGTTTCATTTTATGATCACGTTAAGCACGAGAGCCCCACTGCTTTGAATATTACAATTGATATTCATCTGCAAAATCTTTATTTCTTATTGCGTCATATAGATTTATTTGGAAAAAAGTTGTAAAATCTTTGACTTGATGAACTTGCCCAATTCATCAAACTACGTGTCCATATTGAACTATCCAGCAGAGCATTTACATGCTCCCATCTCTGTGAATGTGTCTCTATTTTGCGAGCTTCCGTTGAAATGCCAATTTGCAATTCTCTCTAACTCTTCCTTCTCCAATATATTGTCCATCTTGATCTTGACTGGATTTTAGAAGCCATGACAGGGGTGGTATTGCCATCACCTTGTGCTCATGTGGTGGTGTTCCCTCACCTGGCTCAGGGACATGCACTCCCATTACTAGACATATGCAAGGCCCTAACAAGCCTCGGTGTCAAAGTCACCATCATCACCACCCCAAAGAATGCCCCACTCATCCTGTCAAAGGTCCCAGACTACTCTGAAATCTCCTTGCGCACCATACAATTTCCTAGAGTCCCAGAGCTTCCTGAAGGATGCGAGAACACTGCTGATCTTCCTTCCATGGCTTTGTTGGTACCTTTCTTGAAAGCCACCAAGTCCATGAGACCCGCCTTTGAGTGTGTTCTCAGGGAGATGTCTGAAGCCGGGTCTCACCCCCTCTGCGTGATTTCTGATTTTTTGCTAGGATGGACGCTTGATGTGTGTCGGTCTTTCGGAATTCCTAGGATTGTCTTCCACGGGATGGGGGTTTTGTCTATGGTCATCTCGAAAACTGCCTATGGGAATGTCCCGTCCATCTTGGCAATGCCAGATTCTGATCCAATCGAACTGCCAAAGTTGAGCATTCCTTTCGCTTTCTATAAGCTCGACATCTCCGATTTGGAGCGGTGCAAAGATCCGGATGACCCTTTCTTGCATATTATATCAGAAATTGGAGAGACTGATGCGAACAGCGCGGGGGTTATCGTCAACAGCTTTGAAGAGCTCGAAGGTGATTATGTTGCTGCCCTGGAAACATTTTACTGCCAGGGGGCAAGAGCTTGGTGCATCGGGCCGGCTTTGCTCTACGACCAGAATCAGATAGAGAGACCTGTGGGATCCAAACAGGCAGACCCACCTCAGTCCTACATCAAGTGGCTGGATGAGCGCGTGGAAACGAGTGGAGTGATATATGTATCATTCGGAACACAGGCACACTTGAGTGACCTGCAAATGGACAATATAGCTCATGGACTGGAGATGGCAGGGCATCCGTTCATATGGGCGGTGAAATCGGCAACTTGGGTGTTGCCGGACAACGGATGGGAGGATCGGTTGAAAGGGAGGGGCTTGGTGGTGCACGATTGGGTGGACCAGTGGCGCATCTTGTCGCACCCGGCGATAGGCGGGTTCTTGAGTCATTGCCGCTGGAACTCGGTGCTGGAAAGCTTGTCGGAGGAGGTGCCGATACTGGCATGGCCGACAGGTAATGACCAGCCACTGAATGCTAAGCTTGTGGTGATGGGGCTCAGGGCCGAGGTTATGGTGAGAGAAGGTGGTGTCGGGGGCATAATTGCTAGCGAGGTGATAAGGGATGGAGTTAAGGAACTGATGGGAGGGGAGAGAGGAACGCAGGCTAGGGACAGGGCAAGGGAGATTGGTAGATTGGCAAGGCAGGCTGTGGAGAAGCAGGGTGGATCGTCCTACGAGAATTTGGGAGGCTTCATTAAGTTTCTCAAAGAAAGAGTTAAAGAGAGAGCTTAGATAGGTTCCTTCTTTTATTTTGTTTTCCTGGCGCAATGAGGCTTAGAATTTAGATACTTGGAGGTGGTATCCAAGTAGAAAAAAAAACATGTAACAGAGCCTCATCGAAATATTGTGCCTCATTTCTCTTTCGATGTGTGACTAGTTTCGGCAAAGGAAATCTTGGTGCCATGATGTAGACATAAAAGTAGAACTTACGTGCTTCCTCAAATTCGTACTAATTCATTCAACGAAATTGTCGCCAGATTGCTTAACTTCTCGTGGACAGGAAGCTGGCCTGTTCTGTTGCATGCTAAGCTTAACAGATAGTATTAGAGGTTGATCTTGCCTCCTAAGGTTATGTCTTAGCTCCTCAACCGAGTCTCCCTGAACCATTAACTTAAGGTTCGAGATGCCACCCACCCTCTCTACTGCGTTGATAAAACACATGCTGATTCCCAGTTTGATGTCTTGCGTTGTGAGAAACCAGCTGGCGAGGGCCCTCGCCAGGTTTCTCACCTATGTCTTCTTCTTTTTTTAAATTAGCTTGTTTTTTTAATCTAATTTGAATAAATTTTGTATTAGAAATTATATTTAAATCAAAACGATGTCGTTTTAGCCACGTTATCGTCACATGGGATAGAGAAAAAAAAATTATCATATTAGCATTTTCCATTAGTCAAGTAAGATTAAGTTAACAAAAGGACTCGATTACACCAATTTGACAAGTTTATGACTCGATTGCACTTTTTGAAAGATTTTAGATTCAATTGTACCTTCGTGATAAGTTTACTTCCCTAAAACTAGTTACGAAAGTACAATTGAGTCCTAAATTTTTCAAAAAGTGCAATTTAAGTCCTAAAACTTTTTTGACGACGAAAGGCCGATGGAGGTGATGAGGGTTTGGGAGCTCTCCGGGCAAATTTGGGCACACTTCTTGGGCAAAAACAAAAAAGATGCAGTCCTTGCGTCCAACAACAGAACCTTGAACAGGAAGAAACGCCCAAAACAGTTAACTTCTCCATTTTGTTTGGTAGCATCCGATCAGCTGGTGACGGTGGCTTAAATGCTCCATCTCCATATCCTCTCTCTCTCTCTCTCTCTCTCTCTCTCTCTCTCTCTCTCTCTCTCACACACACACACACACACACACACACACACACAAGTGGACCGTTTCACTGGGTCAACCAGTGAGATAGACTTGAATAATCGGACTATCTTCATCCGAAATTAACTTTCTTTCTATTCTTTCATTCATCCTACTGCTCAAACCCCATGGTCCATTCATTAATTGATTCGTACAATGTGGCTAAGCCCCTGTATGTAATATATTTAGAATATAGCTGGACTCAACCATTCAAACAAGTTTGCGGTGGCATTTGAAGGTACTTTGTTTTTCACAATTCTAATCCAAGAATTACTAGCACAGAATCACTGCAAGCGATATATTGTTTCCCACCCCTTTGAGAAAGGATGGATATTGACTATGTGGAGGATCGATGCTGATCATGTAGCTTAGCCTCAGATCCTCGACAAACTGGGTGGGCATGAACATGGCAAAGATTCAGCACTCCATACACGAGCTCCCTTTGGACAAGGACAGAGTTTTATGTCCCCAGTGCAGCAATCCCCTCGGCATGAACTTACCAGATTGCGATGATGACTAGCTCCTCGTATAAGCATGCTGCTTCAATTGCAAGTACTCAATTTATCCACTGTGCCCTGGATGTGGCAGCAATGTCAATGGCCATCCTTTATTCTGCAACCAATGTGCCTTCGTAATTTACAGATTATGTGCTGATCGATGACCGCCAAGTATCCACGACCCTCTTCACCAATTACACCCCCCGACCCTGTCGCCGTCCTTTTCCAGCTGTAGCACCTGTAAAACGAAATATTCCACGTTTCATGTAACAATGTGTCGATTGCTCATTCAACCTGTGCCTTGATAGTGCTCCTGTCAAAACTAAGAAGGACATTCTGGACACTAGCCACCACATCTACCGCTTAAAGAAGACAGATATCGAAGTCACTGAGGCATCTGTGATGAAACTGATGAATACACATCGTCGCTCAATTTTATGGTTGCTAACTGCGGTTACACTGCCCTTATCCACTGAGCTCTCCTTGCATTACATGAAACTGTCGAGCACAGGCGTCACCTCCATCCCCTCATTCTAACCAGTATTGTCATTGATTAAGATGGTACGGATGAATGTTACTGTGACTCCTTTGAGGAAAGAAAAGAACTCAAGCATCCGATTTATCACTGCAAAGAATGTGACTTCATTGCTCATGTTGGTTGTGGCACTGAGGTAGGCTTTGCTCAATGCCTACATCTCGCCGATCTTATAGCTATTTCTCTGCAAAATCCACATTAACGTGATCCTATCATTAGATCCACAATAAGCCTTCCACGAAAGTCTTTCAATGTAGAAATAGCTCCACCTAACGATAAAAGACAAAGATCGGTGTCTGCATGGAAAAATAGATCTAGCATTCTATGTTCTTCTGGCATGTGATTTTATCTTGTTAGTTAGCATATGCCAAACAATTGATAGATAGTTTATTCATTTGCACAAACTCCAAATGGGGCACAATTGATGAACTCCTGCTATAATAATCCAGTCGCCACAAACAATGCATTAAAGTGGGAGATCAAATGGAAAGCCAACGATTACCTAGTAGCAGAAAATGTGGTTAAGGCCTAGTAAGTTGATGCAGAGCAGCTATTTATTTAGTTATCAAATCTTACTTTTGCCTGTGACTATTCTTACCAGTGGCTATGCTTAACTAGTCAAAATTAAACTTTCCCATGACATGTTTTCTCTCTCCCGATGCTATCAGGTGCTGCCTTCCCTAGTTGCTCAGTATGGGAATGACGTGAAATCGAAGGGACAAATATCCAATCCGTACCTGGAAAAATAAATGAGGAGCTTGCAACTCCGTGCAAATGAGATGAAATGTTGGAAGCACATCTAGAGGAATTTGTGCCCGAAATGTTGTTCTTCTTCAAGGCTGGTTTTTGACCTTTGGATGAGATACTGGACACGTATGCTCTCCAATGACTATTCTTGTAGTTATTTTCTCAAGTTCATGCTTTAGCACATCTTCTTCCCAAAGAATTTCCTGTATCTTTCTGTTGAGATTTCCAGGAGCAACATCATTTGGCGAAAGACTGCCCTTTCCTTTCACTTGCTTCTCGTACTCCTCAATTATAGATGGCAGTATCAGTTCAGGTTAGGCATATTGCTTACAAGTTGGAAATCATCAACAGCAGCAGAGCGAACAAATCATAAATAATACTTATAATAGCACACCACAAAATCATGGCAGTGCCAGTTTTAGATAAGTTGAATAGTTCTCTTTGAATTGGAGGAAAGATGAAGAACTTCCTTCCAGAAGAAAATTAACAGCAAGCGAAAGCCAATTTTTGGAATGATTTTAGCATATTACGCACACAATGATCCGGCAAGAATAGAAACCACATTAGCTTCTTAGTGAAACATATGCGGCTCATCTATGTCAGCAGACCTACTGAAAAATCACTTCAAGCAAAATGGGAAAAGAAAAAAAAAGGAAGCTTAAAGATGGGAAGCCAAACCTCAACTAACGTGAGCTTCTCTTTGTCCAGATCATACTGCATCATTGGGTGCTTGTGTATGTGCTGTTGAATCTCCCTTGATCCTCCTTTGTGATCTACTTCTGCATAGGCTTGCAGATCATCTGTATCAGCATTCTTTGGCCTTGACATGCTCGCAGTTGAAGAATCCATCAAATGGCAAATGCAAAATTCACAATAAATTTAAGTCGGATAACCCAATATGATCAGATAGTTAGGTAGTGATTCATGCATCAACACGATCGTGGTGCCTGGTTTTAAGAACACCAACATCATATATACAAACTGTAGCAGCATCATGAGAGGAAGGTGAAGGTAAAAGCAAGCTTCATTGAGACCAAAAAAGTCTCCCTCCAAGGCAAGTCAACTCTCTCTTGCGTGAAATCAGCAGCATAACTTTCAAATCTCTTTGCCTAAGCCAACCAATTTTGTGGGAAAGCAAGCCTGAGCATATCCATGGGCCATCAGGCCCATGATCAGGTTGAAAAGGTCACATCTCCAAATATGGTAGAAGCCCCAATCGTTATAATGTCTATAATTTTTTTTCACTATTTACTTTCCAATAAGCAAACTGTTTGTGATTTGGCAAAATATGCATAATCTAAACACAGATGTGAATATCAATCCTGAACACGGGATGGAACTCTATTTCTTATAGATTCCGCATAGCCAAAGAGGGTAAGGCAATTTGAAACAGATTGGCAAAGTCCAGACTCTTACGTCCCTTATACAATATCAATAACTGATATGATCAGGTGGGTCTCTCACGGTTCCTCTGTTGTCTAACTCTCGGATGGCTTGGCTCCTGTACAGAACATCCCCGCTCGGCCCACGACCAAAACTTGCTGCAACAGTGAATTGGACTCACTCGATCCCCACCACGACAAAGTGGCCTGAAAAAGAAGCAATCAACAAGGCCCAGAAAAGAAAAGAACAAAGAGGAAGGGAAGGACCAACTTGGAGCTGCAATCCACAAATCTGCCACTCAAGTCATGTGAGCCTCTACCCTTTCTCTTTCACAAAAATAAATGGGAAATTGAGAAACTCTACTTTAGGGCCCTCTCGTCAGATCTTTCTCATGAGCGCATGTGATTGTTCATCCGAGTCCACATACTATAATCTTGTCTCTGTCCGCCAGTTTTCTGTCTATGCGTGCCCCAATATCTAAATAAACAAGAAAACACAACATGTGTCGAAAAATAGAAAATTTGAGTCCCCTTTTGTCTACCATGATAATAACGGGCCTCAAAAACATAAAAATTTAAAAAAAAAACAAGGATCGAAAACAGGAGATCACGTGATGGACCCAAACTCAAATGGCTATCTGGGCCACACCCTCTGATCTATGATTGATTTGATTGCAATTTGACGATTTGATTAGTAAGGGCGCGAATGACAATCATTCTATTTCAGAAATCAATTTTCTGTTTCTGTTCCATGGATGAATTTCTTAGCAAAAATATGCGTTTGATAACGACACAAAATTTCTGTTCCCAAAACAAAAATTTGTTTGATAAAGGCACAAAATTTCTCCCCCTCGAGTGGCCGGCGGGTGGATGGCGGGCGGCGGACGGCGGGGGGAGGCAACAACGAATGGCAACGCGGTTAATGCGTAGGACTGTGGCTGGCGTTGGGCAACGGCAGGCAGGCGACGGCGGGAGGAGAGCGGTGCGCGGCGGGAGGCGGCAACGGGGCCAAAGAACGCGACAGGTGCGAAGGGCAGGACCTGCGGCGTCGAGCAGCGGCCGGCAACGAGAGTCGAGCGGCCCACGGCGGCGGGAGGCCGCCAGCCCACGGCGGCCGACGACGAGAGATGACGAATGGTGGGCAACGACCCACGATGGCCGACGAATGGTGGGTGGCGACCCACGACAAGAGACGACGAACGGCGAGCAACCGGCAGCAGGAGACGGTGGCCGGTGGATGGCGTGCGGCGACACATGGTTGCCAACGATAGGAGACGGTGAATGGCGGGAGGCGGCGGCCGGCAAGTGGATGGCGATGGGGCGGCGGGCGGGCAATCGCCTAATAGCGAGGGCGAACGATGAGAAGAATTCTCATTTCTCATTTTGTTCCAAAAATAGAAAAGTAGAAGATTTTTCCTTCTCATTTCTGTTCTAAACCTATTTCTGAAATCAAAATTTGTTCCATAAATAAAAAAATGAAATTGCGATAGCAAACGGATTCTGTTCCAAACCTGTTTTTTGAACAGAAAATAAGAAAAATAGATAAATAGAATAGTTATGATTCGAAGTCTAAATTTCGAAATCCTCTTGATCCATCATGGGTTTCGTTTCTTCTCCCCTTGAATCGATCAATGGCGATGAAGGTTGAGCAGTCTCGGTCCTCTTAACTCCCACCGTCAGCAGCAAATGATGAAGCCGCTTTCATCACCTTAAACAAAGCTTCTTCTTTTTCCCCAGTCAGTCTTCACACTCCACAAAACACTGTGTTAGATACCGAAAGTCCATCTGGATTCGAGCCTGCATTGAAAACCATTACTTATTCTATTCTACCTTGTTTTAGGTTGGGGCGTTTCAATCACTCCTTATTGCTATTATTATTATCATTTTGGTTTTGATTAATCTGATGGGCCTGACAAAGGAGAAATTGATTAGTTCAAGTTTGCGCATACTTTATCGTGACGGACTTAAGATATGCTGATTGGTCAGATCCAGACGCTAGAAGAATAAATTACTGATTAGTATGCCATATGGTCCTCCTAAATGATAAAGTTTAATGTATCTTGACTTGGGATCCATTGTCTAAGGCGGATTGGCAGGTGAGCTTGGCCCTCCCATTTTTGACATTTCTGACATTTCTTTCTACGCTTTCCTTGATTTACGCTCTTTTGGTATTTTCTTCCTGATTAGAGGACGTTGATTCTTCCGTCTTTTTGGCTGTTTTCTAGTTTACTCCTTGGGAGAGATACTCCTTTTGCTCAATATGCAGAAATTTGAATTTCTGACTTATGTAACGGTTTCACAAAATTCACTCGCTTATAACATCGTCCAATTAAAATGGTCGGAAATACTAGCACTCTAGACGTTAATATAAATCAACGTGGCTGTAAGACAAATAGGTAGATATAAATTATGAAAAAAGTACGAATTACGTAGATTCAAACGTACTTTAATAGGAAAGGTGTTTGGAGATTTCATACGGTACATAATTACACAAATTGATGACTCTTTGGTCATGAGTGCCACACTTATCAAAAGATCTAGCTAAGTAGTGTCTATGATTTTTGACCTATAAATTTCCAAATACATCTAGGTATCAAACATTTTGGTGGGGACCTTATTTTCATGGGAATATTCCATGGTATATGAGCTTGCACTCATCTCCCCATCATTTGGACTGCATCGACCTGTGAGGAACTTGGATTTACGTGGCTTACAATGCAATTAGTAGGTCGTGTCTTTGTGGTCAGATGGAATCGATCTTTAATATACACAACCCCTTCTGTTTCTTGGGTCAAGACCCTCTTGTCCAAGGCCAATGAAGATGGAAATTCACCGCCTGGCTCTCTTGTCCAACATCGATGAAGCCCCTTCGACACGACAACTATCACATGACAATCATGACCTTTTTACATGGTTCCTCAGTCGTGATGGAGTAATTATTACCCAACTATCTACGACTCCCAACCTTTTTCCTCGGAACTTACCAGGTTGCACTGCTAATCCTGATTCTGTCTCTAGCTCCGGACACTAATTAACTTAAGGAAGAATCCGTGGTTATCTGCTCTGCGCGAGCATGTAGTGATTGGGAAGCATAATTAATGCCTGCTTACTAGGTTTGGGGCTAAAAGGGGAGTTGGTTTTGGACTGTTTTGGAAATTAATCACATCGCTATGTCCCAGAGTGGGAGCAGGTACACCAAGCACATGTCCATCTTCCAATCTGGGTCCTTTGTCTTTTGGCAAGGAATTTACTTTCTGGTTAATTAAAGTTATTGCTTGCAAGTTCTTACAAAAAGGAAAGAACAGAAAGGGTGTTACATCGATATTGCATTGTATTAACATATTATCAGTGTCCCCACATTAAATGCAACTTTAGAAAAAGAGGAAAGAGGAAGTGTTTGACGGGGTTGGTTGTGTTTTCCTTTTTCTTTTTGGGGTGAAAATTAAGAAGACTTTTTTTTTATCAAAATATTAGCAGCAAACAAAATTGTAGCAGGAAATTTAGGCAGCCCATCATTTTCCGGGAAAGTGTCGGTGGCGTTATGAGCTCCTAAGAAAGACAGACGGGAACAAAGAAATAAATGAGCAGACTTCACTGTCGTTAGACCTTCCTTCCCATTCCATTCAGAGCCTCTCTCACTCTTTGGTGCTCTGCTCTCTCTCAAAGCTTGAGCTCTCCCCGTTTGCCTCTCCCTTCATCTCCGTAGACCGAGAGAGCCCTGAGATAAGTGGAGTGAGACAGGATCTAGAGAAAGAGAGAGAGAGAGAGAGAGCAATGGGTGTAGATTTGAGGCAAGTGGTGGCTGGAGTTCTGACCATAACCATGTTTGTAATGCTGGGTCAGATGATCAAAAGAGACCATTTTGATTCAGTCGAAGTAAGTACGAATTCTGCATTCGATTGTCTGGGCATTGATCTCTGGCTTTCGCTTCCGTATCTGCTCCAATTATCCTCGAATAGCTCCTTTTTGCGCTAGATATGCACGGGCATGTTATCTAGTTTTCCTCTTTTTAGGCTCTCTTCTCAGATAATCCCAAGTCATTTGTCAGTACTCCGCCCATAACTCACTTTTTTTCAATTGGCATTGCTGTGGTTATCAGCTTATGGGCGAATTAGTTGGCAAAAGTTCAGTCTTTGAGCTATGCTTACACGCATCGTACCGTTTACATCTGGGTACTGGAGAGACAGTGAGGATTGCCGAAGAGATTTCCAAAATCGTGTCTTTTTTTTCCCGAGAATGATTGTGTCGATGCATCAAAGGGAAAGACAAATGATGCATCTTGAACTGTGGGTTCCCAGTCATAAAGCGAGATGCCCGTATACCTATATATGCAAAGTCTGGATCTTGGTTGCAACATGGACATATTGGCCACGTCTGCGTTTGAAGATGAATTGATGTTGTTTGTTTTGTTCTGTCATAGGAAAAACTTCCGGGAGTGTCAGATGATGCCCGTTTTGACGACAGTAAGTTAGAAGCGAAGTCGCTGGTTTCACTGTCTAGAAGGAACAAGGGTCCTTGGAAAGAAGAAAGCCAAGAGCTGAAACAATGCTGGAGCAGACCTACTTCTGGTACTTTTGATTGCATTTGGTCCTAATGAGTCACTGTATTCCTGCCACTGTGTTGATGCTGACTGAAATGCTTGTGTCTTTGCCTGTTTTTGCCTTAATTTTGGTTTACAGACTTAGTAGAGGACTCAAAGGGCTTCGTCATTTTCTCATTGACCAATGGTCCCGAATACCATGTCTCCCAGGTGACTCATGCATCTAGTGGATTTAATTATCATGCCAGTTCACTTTTCCATAAATATTAGTTTCTCGGTCGACTGTATACTTCCATGATGTGGAGCTATCTTCTCGTGCAGTGCTTCCTTTGCTGGACATCTGCAATTTCTAATTTCACCACCCAAATAGTTTCGGCTAGATATTTGCATTTCCTTTTCTATTAATTCTTACATTTTTAACTCTAAGTGGACGTTCAATCTTTGTGGTTTTTAGGTCAACTTGTACATATAAACTGTCCATGCGCTGATGCACTCCAATGTTCACTGGAAAGGACTTTTGTGGCCTAACTTCTTGCCAGTTCTTAAAAGTTCAAATTTGGTTTTGCATTTCCAAAGTATCCTCATCTTGTGTCTATTTCTTAGCAGAGTTTATGCTGCATTTTCAAACTGAAGTTCATGCAATGTTAGCAACAAAGATAGTATGCTACAACTGTTTTGATATTGACGAAGCATTTTCTGAGATAAATGAGATTGAGACCATTCCTCTTAGACAATGCTGATTTTGGACTACATAAGTATACTGGTTAATAGGAAAAAACACTCTGTTCTCTCTCTCTCTCTCTCTCTCTCTCTCTCTCTCTCTCTCTCTCTCTCTCTCTCTCTCTCTCTCTCTCTCTCTCTCTCTCTCTCTCTCTCTCTCTCTCTCTCTCTCTCTCTCTCTCTCTCTCTCTCTCTCTCTCTCTCTCTCTCTCTCTCTCTCTCTCTCTCTCTCTCTCTCTCTCTCTCTCTCTCTCTCTCTCTCTCTCTCTCAAGTGGCCTTATTGTGTATGAATTCTTCAGGTTGCAGCCGCAGTGGTTGTAGCAAAATATTTAGGAGCAACTCTAGTACTCCCTGACATCAGAGGAAGCAAACCAGGGGATCGGAGGTTTGTAGCACTGTGCATTTGTGTTCTCAGATTTTCACATGTATACCCAATTTCCAAAAATTATTGTCGATGAAAATAGCAGTCTCTAGAAAAGCAAACTCCTCTGACTTAAAACAAAGTTAATCATTCTATAGCACACTTACCACGTCTCATAGATATGTCCAACATAACTAAGGTCTCCATTGGATTCTAGGATCCAGGACAAGGCTTATCTTAAGTATCATAAATAGAACTCGAACATATGAGTTTGCCATATGATAGTAGAGGAACTGCGTACTGTGTTTGTGCCTGACATTTGTCCATTCTTCAGGAGCTTTGGAGAGATATACGATGTTGCTAAGTTTGTAAGAAGCCTGGATGGAATTGTCAGAGTAGCAAAAGAACCACCTTCTGGGATATCAACACGGAATCTTGCGGTTGTCAAGGTCCCAAATACAGTGACAGAAGAGTATATTGTTGATCATGTTGAACCTAAATTTAAGTCAAAGGGTAACATAAGACTGGCAACTTACTTCTCCTCAGTAAACATGAAAAAGCCAAGTCAAAAGAGTGACCTTGATTCTACATCATGTTTGGCCATGTTTGGAACTTTGGAGTTGCAGCCAGAGGTACATGAAGTCGTTGACTCAATGGTTGAGCGTCTGAGAACATTGAGTCGGAAATCTAATGGTCAGTTCTTAGCAGTGGACCTAAGGGTAGACATGTTGGAAAAGAAGAATTGCCAGGGGACAAAAAGTTGTTTTGGTGCGCAAGAGATTTTGGAGTTTCTGCAGAAGATTGGTATTGACAAGGACACTACAATCTATTTAACTCAATCAAGGTGGGATAGCAGCCTTAATGCTCTGAAGAAGTTTTTTCCCAAAACTTACACCAAGGTGAGATATTTCTGGTTGTTTTCCTTTCAGTGAGCGTTCAAATCTGTTCACTACAGTAGCATTCTACAAACTACTAGTCTACTAATTTCATATGGCCTGCTTTCTTTGGAGAGTTGTGTCTTGGTCATTTAAAAATTACCTTAATCTTTTGGCTGACACTCAAGTTGCTAATAATATTTTTACTAGGCATCCTTCACAGCTAATATATCTTAGGTTCTAGAAAGACGTGACATTATTCTGATGGATCCTTTATGGCCTCTAAAATCTTTGAGCAGGATGGGATAATGCCTGTGGACAAGAAGTCAAAGTTCCTTGATTCAGAAGAGTCAGAATATGAGAAAGTCATCGACTACTACATATGTTCTCAAAGTGACATTTTTGTACCTGCGATCTCAGGCTTGTTTTATGCCAATGTAGCTGGTAACAGGATTGCATCTGGAAGGACTCAAATACTTGTTCCTGCCAACATTGAGGGTTCGTCTGCATCAGCCGCTAATTATATCTCCACCTATGTTTCGAAGAAGAACCATTTGGCTTATTCATGTTTTTGCTAGGTCTCTGTAAAAAAAGAAGCCACAAGACAGAACGAAGCCCTTCAGACATGGTCTTTTTGTGCGTGTGCCTCATCATTTTTTCTATAAGCAGACAAAATGATTGGTTATACTATATGGTCCCCTACAATTGTACCAAGAAACCCTTCTGAAGTCTTTGTTAAGGTGATTTTTCAATATGATCTTCAAATGTTTAGTGATTCCCAATGACAGCGTGCTCCAACTCTATACGATGCGGCAGAACCTCTTGCATGGTCATCTCTGGCCCCAACCATTCCATTCAAAATTAGAAGGTGGACTTACAAGATGCCATTTCTTTGATTACTTGGGAGTTGAGACATTACCAAGGATTGTGCAATTTTACAAGAAATAGATGGAGTGTAATTCCTTGCAATCTGACCAAATTAAACCAACCTCAAGCATTTTGAATGCTTCATCTATTCAAAGTTCGAGCTTAGCCCCACTCTTGCTACAAATCTTCTTTCCATAAAAATTGTGAGGCCATCTTAGATCATCAGGAAAAGCTGGTGATATTTTATTCCCCATACAGCGATATGTACGTTGTTGCTTATGTTCATTCGCTGGTTTGAGTCATGGACATACTTTACTTTTTTGAAGCAAGTCGAGGTTCGCATCTTCAATTAACGAAGTGGTAGGATTTGCGTGATCTTGCCGTTATGAGCTAACTATTTTATGGAACTAGCAACTCAACGTTGCTTTTTTTTTTTTTTGTACATGTTAGAGAAGAAATAGCACTCTTAGTGTAGGTAAAGGCAATCCCTTGATTAAACTTTTTCCGGTTATGGCTAAAACCTCACATCATGAACTGACATGCGCCCAAATCAATTTCGTTTTCTTGCTCGAGGGAACCCACTCATCTTGGTTTTACCGTTATATCTTTGTCTAAAAATACAATGCGTGCATTGCTATAATTGGTTTATCAACTTTCATCATTTGGAGGAATTTGTGTCAAATTGCTTCCATTTCCTCACCACTTTCCATACATCTGCCGAGGATATTTTGAAAAAGTAGCCGTTTTCACCTTCCATATCGGTGTTAAAATTCTAAAATGACCAAATTTATAAGATGGATTTTTCAGTCTTAGCATTATATACAGTAGAAGATCTCCACGGCATCATCAGAATCATTTGGGTGTGATTTTCCGGAAATTTTTGGTTCGCGAAATCTTTAGAAAATCTCACATGTCAAGCTTTAGCAGATGTGCTGCCTGCAAATATCTGAGAAGAAAATGTCCTCAAGATTGCATATTGGCTCCTTATTTCCCTTCCTCGAATCCACAAAGATTTGTTTGTGTCCATAAGATCTTTGGTGCCAGCAATGTCACTAAAATGCTTCAGGTCAGTTCATATGCCCAAAAAAACAAAATGTTTAAATTTCTCTTCAATGTCTCAATGGTTTGTTGACAACTTCTTCAGTACAGGATTTCCGTATTATGTTTCACTTGTGCATATATTTCATTGATAGTATAGAAATGTCAGTGTCCATGTCTCTGGTGATAATTATGCCGTGCAACCAAGTTTTCTGGCTAAAGAAATATGAAACCAAGTTTGCTGGTTTTAGTATACTAACAGAAGCTCAAAGAAGTGAATGATTGTATGCTGTTCATCTAACGAAATAGTTCGTGTTCTAAATTCCAGTCATGTACTTTAAACTAAGTAGTCCCATTTGCTGTGGGAGAGGATAACGAAATCTATATTAGCACGAAGATGGGGCTGTATCTCTTTGAATGACAATTTGTTCATTTGTTTCATGATTTTTGGTGATTAACTGTAATGCCATGGCAATGATGGAGCAGCAAGTCCCCGGGCATTTACGGGCGGAGGCAGCAGAGTGCATTTCATATGAAGCAATAGCCCGGGTTCAAGACCCTGTCTACGGATGCGTTGGAATCATCACTCAACTACAACAACAAATCAGCCAGATTCACAGTGAGATAATGAAGACTAAGGGTGAAATGATAGCCCATCACTGTGCACACTCGCAACACCATCCACCGCCCCAGCCACAAGGTGACCCTTCCTGGTCCATTTCCCTTCATCAGCAGCAGCAGGACTACTCTCAATCAGACGAGCATCTACTTAGAAAGTACTAAGCTGGTCAAATTGATGCACTCCCTAGTTTCTCTCTATGCATCTTGAAACTGTCATCAATTTTGCGGTGACCCGGTTTCCTAACTGCATCATCGTATGAAAGGATAATTTCTGCATTTGTCAACTTCATCTTAAAATATCATTTACCCTCAGGCTTTCGAGAGCACTGATCCCGCTCCCCTTTCGCTGTTCACAATACGTCACCAGCTTGCACACAAGTATTCAGATACCATCTCGTACAAATTGGACAAGAAATTGTACCAGAACCCTCAGCACTGACTAAATATTGCATCACACTCCCACTTGTTAAGATGTCAACACACATTTTTTCAGGTTGTATTTGTATAGCTTCATTAAAGATGCTCCATTTAAGAACATTCCACAGTCATGGGGCACTGCCATCCCTTACAACTGAACATGCAGGTGTTGCAAAAAAATCAAGTCGGGTCAGCAATCTAATAGATTCAGCTAGGCAAGCAATCCCACGCTTTGGAATTATAAGCTTCTTATTTACACTTAGTAGTACTACTGTACCTTAAAGTTCACTTAATAATCTCCACAAAGGCTAAACATATCCCAAAGACAGGAAGTAACAAACACAATGCCGGATTAATATGAAAAAAGACCACGTATTATGTTCACTGTCTAGAAAAACAAGAGTCTTCAAGCAGAAAGCCTTCATGCCATAGGTAAGGGGACTTGATTACACTAATGATCCCAAATCGTGATCTTTAACGCCCTTCACACGAGCAAACGATCTTGAATTTAACTGTTTCAAGCACGTCTCCATCGGCGGAATGGCCTAACAAAGTACTTCGCTAGAGGAGTCTCAGGAACCGGAATGAGTTTCCCGACTATAGCAAGCGGCCAGCTGTTCGTTGACAATAAATTATTCAATGAAATGAACAGATAAGTAGTTAATTTTACTGGGAAAGGAAAGATGATGAAATGGGATTCAATTATCTAGCATCAGAAGGACAAGTGAAATTTCCCAGGTCCCTAATGTTCAAACTCAGGACAAAAATTTTAAAGATCTCAAAATTGGCCAGTCTCAAATATTTATTAACTTCTCTGAAGCATGTTTGAAATAGTAAGAAAAATGTTCGATCTCCATCTTAATGGTATACAATCACCGAACTTTTCATAAAACTTACGAAGAGAATGACATCCCAAGTTAATCCAGTCCAAGATTTTGACAAATAATGCATTTATGATTTCAACACCTATACTTCAAATACCTTCCACTCTGTGAACTTTACTGTCCCAGACACATGTACGAACTCTTATTAACATGCCGAGGAATGGAACTAACCTGACAAAGCCAATCCCAACGCACACCAGCCACATCTTCCAATCCAATTTCACTGTGGTAGTGAATTTACCAAGGAACTCAATAATGATTATCTAGAAAAAAATCAAAACAGCACTATCAGTTCACAGTATATACGTATAAATATAGCAAAAAAATGACAAAAATGCCACCCACTTGAAGTACTAAGGTCATTCCTACAATAGCCATGAACAGGTGGTTTCCAGTTACTCCACTGAACACATTAAATTCATCAGGCTTCCGAGCATTAAACTCATTAAAGATCTGCAATCAATAGCAACCCACCAATTTGAGCTTCATGACTAGAAATATAATATAACGGAAAATTTAAGATAGCAAATGCCATCCTAATCAATTACCCGAGTTAAATGGTAAGATAAACCAAAGGAGTAAGAGCATGGAATCATCAAATTGTTGGTATACTTACTTGACAAAGGACAAATGCATTAAAGATCACTGAATTCTTCACCATAGTAGTGCGTTGCGTATTTTCACCATTCAACCGAAGTATACTTTTCCCCGAGAAATTCAGCACAAGAAGTACGCAAACTTGATAAAATGCCTGCCAAAATAAAAGTTAACTTCGATGTAGAAAAAGAATATTATCAAAAGACAAGTGGAGAGAAAATATACCTGTATGATTAAATTTCTCCACATTATGTTGGTTATGAGGGGTTCCCTGAAAGACAGAAAAATGGCCATCAATGAATCTGTCAAAATAAAAGTTAACCCAAAAAATATATCCCTAAGTATTCCGTGCTAAGCATGTTGTTCTCCTTTTTTGTGCACCCATTTGCACATTCGACACCCCCTAGCATCTCTGTGTAGTAACATATCTTGCAAAACCAATACGACGTGAATTTCTTTTTCCTTAATAATCCAAAGACACAAGAATACTTCCTATAGACTCATGAAACGCCCGGCAAGTCCCATGAACCGGTTTAATTCTAAGCCTTTAGCATGGTGAATCACCTCAATGCCAAATATGCGTACGCTTACAGAAATGACCGACAGGTGCCATGGCAAACATAAAGCACTCAGTTCAAATATTCAGTATCCTAGGTTAATAAGATTGATAATTTAAAACCGGCAAGAATAAAAGTTTTGACCGTAGTAAAGTCCAAAAGTGCTGACTAGTGCTTTGGATATTGCCGCTAGGGCAAAGAAAAAGGTATGTCATGACAAATTGCCAAGAGCAATTGTCTAATCAAAATTCTCAAAGAACCTTTCTTTCACCCATGTATGGTTTGGTTAATAGAAATACAGCATTGACCAGTAAAATAATATTTTTCAACAGTTTATATCTGCTAATTGAACTAAGCAAGAGTACTAGAAGGCATTATACACGAAACACAGAAACTGCCAGATTTTGTATTTCCCCGTTTATTCATATATAACAGCATATTGGAATTGGCCAGAGAGATAACCTTCGACCAACGGGAGATCTATCCATAAGATGATCTGTTGGAGGTTCTGTAGCCAATGCAAGTGCTCCAAGAGTATCCATTATAAGGTTGACCCACAGAAGCTGCATTGAGAAGAAAGGCATACTAAGCACCACTAGTCAATAAACTGCATTTCCAGTCAAAGGAATTAGTTCATGGCCTTAAAATAGAAGTTAAAGGAAATAGTGACTTTGTCACGTTGACCCTCATGGTTGCTCAACAAATTCCATATTTATTTGCAATAATGGAATCAAATACCCAAAAGACAAGGTATCCTGGTATACAGAAGAAACAATGTCTGATAATCACCAATCCTACAGTTCTAAAAAGAGAATAAGTATCCATTTCCTTCTGTCTATTCTACACACAAAAATTTCAAGGCCCAAGGGAATTGTTCATCTCATACATGTGAGAAGGAAAATGAAAAGGAATGATTTACACTTTGTCATGTAGGTTTGAAGCAGGAACACTTGGAAGTAATGTTATCTTCCCTATAGCTAGAACGCGATACACTAGTGATGTCAGTCAAAGAAAAGTAGCAAAAACTCTTGACACACAGCCTGTGATTCTGCTTCAAGGCCCGTAGTGGTATTTAGACTAAAACAAAAGGGTTTAAGATGGATGAGTAGGCATAAAAATCTAATGCTCAGGGCCTTGACCGCCAGTCAATCTCAAACTGGACAGCTTCTTTCTTGTCTATCCTTCCCCTATTTCATACCCCAAATCCAACATCTAAAATTTCTGAAAGAAGCAAAATTAAGGGCTATAAAATTACACAGTTCTGACAAATGTTACTAGTATGGACATAGTTCATGGTAAATAGACAGCAGAGCTACAGACCTGCACTGCATTTAAAGGAACTTCACCAGACGATATTGATGCCACAACATTGATAACCAGTGCTGCAACATTGACTGTCAGTTGGAACTGGATAAATTTCTGAATATTTGCATATACAGAACGGCCCCATCGCACAACCTGCACAGAGGAAATGGACGTGATATTATAAATTTGGTGAACACCGAGGTTGAGAAGACTTGGAATTAACTCAACTGTATAAGTCAATCTAGGGCCAAAAACAACTACAGAAGTTAATCTTCTGAAATTCTAGACAAAGTCCCCCTCCATCAAATTCCTCAGCCAAAATTAAATCAGCACTCATCCTTATAGAAATCAGCCAAAGTACAAAAATCCCAATAACCATTGCTAGATGTAAATGTACAATGATCAGCACTCATCCTTATAGAGTTGAAAGTACAGGTGCTGAAAACCAATAGGTATAGCAGTCACAAGAAACCAGTAGTACAAGACCACCATTTCTGTAGCCGGAGATTGTCTCAAAAAGCACATGTAGAGGCAGGAACATTTACCCTGCCATTTCAGATCTATGATGACTCCAAGGCCACATCTACAGATGAAAACACTGTAACATTTACTGCAGATAACCTATGCTTATATCCTCAGGTCAAGAATGAACATTTTGCTAACCTTAACGACAGAAGCGAAATTATCATCCAAAATTATGATGTCTGCACTCTCTTTCGCAACTTCTGTCCCTTGAATGCCCATGGCAAGACCAATATCTGCCTAAACAACAACATAGTAAAAATGCAATCACTAAGATAATAAATTAATAAATTATCTAAAAACAGAACATTTCAAACGTGATAAAAAATTCCCAAACGATAATGCACCAATATAGCAAGAGAGGCAAATTAGGATCAGATCAGATGACCATATTCATCTGCATAAATTCTTCCACGGACATAAAAGAGAGAACATTTCACACCAATCAGCCATCAATACTAATTACTAATACGGAAACGGATTTTTTTATTTATAGAACAGGTATTCACCCACGTGGCTTAAAATCCAACATGTTTGATACCTCATCCAACTTTTATTCTACTCCCAAACTAAGAGCTCATAAGAAGCAATACAGTGGCCCATAAATGACATGTTTTATCTGAATATTAGTACATGATTATATATGCAAGCATGCACGCAGGCTTTTTACGTCAAGTTGCTTGGTCTCAGACCTCATGAAGAGCAGGAGCGTCATTGGTTCCATCCCCTGTTACAGCAACAACATCACCTCCTTTGCGTAATGCTTGCACGAGTAACAGCTTGTCATTAGGAGAAGACCGCCCCATCACCTAAACATGAATATGGAGTTAAAATGCCCTTACAACCTTACTAGAAAATCTATGAAGTTATCCATACCGTT